TTTCATGCCTAAAAAGAACTGAATTAATTATGGCTTACGGCAATTTAGGCCTCTGTATATGGTGAGGTAGGCAGTAGAAAAATATTCTTCATGCCTACATTGCAGGGTGCGATATTTCCATCTTGTAGTGTTTCGTGTTGATTATATTCCTTTTGCAAAGTTCATTTAGTCATGGGCATTTTCATGCTGTCAAATGCTGGCTGTGTGCATCTTTGGGAGAACAGAAAAGGAAAGAGTTAGGATAAAATAAAATATTTGTAACTTCTTGGGGCAGGAGGTGACCATTTCAGCTTCTGTTTCCATTCATTCTCATCGTAGTCATGACTCTCTAAACAATAATTTCTATCTTTTTCTGCAATCTTTAATCTCTTTAATTTTTTGGTTTGGTTGTCCAACGTTCTGAAATGGGAAGTGTGAAGGCTGTGATTCTTCCTGAGCTTCTCCAAATGTTAAGACAATGCTACAATTAAGAAGTGCCAGGAAATAGAAGCATGGAAAAATGCCTGTGCTATTGAATGCTGGATTTGATCCAAGTGTTACTTCTTTCAATTACTGAAGGATCTTGTGAAAGTCTGTAACCTTCGCTGTAGCAAAACAGGATCTGGATGGCAAATATAACGGGCCAGAGAGTATGTCAGCGAGTAAGCGGTTGAGGCTTCTGTCTATCCCTCCTGTAGTCTGCAAGCAGCAGTTTGCTCCAAGATATCGCCCTTAAAAGAGCATGTTGCTCAGGGGCTCTGATATTTAAGCTTCCATGAAGTTGTTGTTGCTATTTATTCAAGCTTGGGGGTTCTAACCAAGTGCTTAAAGTACCAGTAGTCCTTTGTGCCAGATAGTGATTAGTAAAAAGAAGGAAAGTATGGGCAGCCAAATAACTGGATACAACAATGGCAGATTAAACTAACTTGGACATATTTTTTTCTGAGTATCTCACTGTTATTTAGGTTTCTTATTTAGGCTGTTGATGTATGCTTCCACTGAGTAAACATCTTAAAATTCTGTTAATTAAAAAGAACCTCTATGTCCATTAACATTGTAGGCATTTATAAACATAACTCCAGCTTAATGGTAGCTGCTGCCCTTTGGCTTCATGAGCAGAATGAGGGAGAGGATATGCAACTGATAATTCATCTTAAATACTGCAGGCTTTTCTTTTGACTTCATCTCATAAACTCTACATTAGAACTGGATATAATTAAAAATGAAGGCAACAAGGACATTTGGGAGTATGGCATGTCTTCAGTCTGAGAAAGTTACTGGAATACCTTGTATGAATGGAAATATGCTGGAAAGCCACAATACGAAATTGAACAGGATTTTTTTTTCTATGATGGAAAACCAACATTATCTCAAATAAAATTATCACGTATACTTTTCAAAGAAACAAGAGGAAGTATGCTTTTCAGGCTGCAAGTAATAAAATCCGTGGAACTCCTTGCCAGGGACTAAGGGGGTGGAGAAAAGAATAAATTAATCAAAAAAGGAACTAGACAAAGTCAAGAAGTATAGTTCCATCACTCTCTAATCAACTTTGGTAGCTGCGATAAGAGTCTCTGGTTAAGAAGTCTCAAAGCCTTTCACAAGCAGAGGCTGGCAGGCTGGACAAATGGTAAGCTCAACTAATGCTTTCTTGTCATTCTTAAACTTTTCCCATAAGCATCTGAGATTGACCACTACTGAACATGTGATGCTAGTCAAGATAGGCATTTGGTCTCTCTTAATATATGAGTTTTGTGCGTAGAAAATATTAAATGGTTTCATACTCATGACTGGTGTGAGCTGTCAAGAAGGACCTTGGAGGGTCTGGTAAGGACTGGTTGGATGTCAGGGACATTGAGCTGTAATAGGATCAGTTTTCCTCTTGTAGCTCTCATAGGAGTTGTTCCTGTAATAGTAACAGACTTAAAGATAGAAGATACTCCTTACTTTTCTCCCTGTTTTCAGTATTACACATTGAAAGCATGAAATCGAATTACAAGTCAGTTCTTTTACGTCTCTAAAACACGATGTTGACTTAAAAATCATGATACTTGAAGGAAAAATAAATGTTGGGTTTATTTTATTTGTCTTTCTGATGTTTCAACCTATAACGTTTGTATAATCTTTCTTGAAACTCTGTCTTTTCTCTGGAGGCATTTCAGCTCTGGAAAATTGAAATTCTTATGAACCTAGAAATTAGGACATTAAAAACACCACTAAATTTCATAAGAAGTGACAACACTTTTTCTGTGTTTCCCTGAAGGTCTGCCTGCTCACTCTTAATATATACAAAGTGGATCTAACAACTTACCTTTTGCAAAATAACCCACAAAATTATCAGCAGAGGGGAAGTCTGAGCTCTTCAGGTGTTAAACTGAACCAAACATGTCCATGACCAGCAGCCATGATGGTTTCCCTTTTGCTCTCGTATCGGGTGGTCCTCCCCTTGTCCTGCCACAATCGCTTGAGTTGCTGCTTGAGTGGTACCTGATCCTACCAAGGCTGTTGGAGGCACATGTCAAAGCTGGCAGAAAGCTGACAGAAACTCATAATACCTTCTAATAGCCTCTGCTTTTGTTAATGCTGAAAATACAAGGTATCCAGGCTGAAGGAGTATAAATCTTCTCCAGTAGAGGAACCAAAAAAGTTTAAGGATGCCTGCCACAATTGGAAACAGGTTTCCCTGAAGCTGCTGGCTTCCACATGGGTAGGGATATAAACAGGATGGTAAGCTTTCAGAGGATTATAGAATTTGAAAACAAGATAGAGACTAAAGAAAACACGCAAGAGGCAGAAGTGACACAAGGCTGCAGAAATGGGCAAGAGTGTGATGCCGTTGGGATTTGTGACGTGTTTTGGATATTGAAGGTGATTGCTTTTCGGATTCAAAAATCTTAAGTTAGTGAATTCGCATGGCAGCATGTAAGGGTTGTGTTGATGGTGATTGTTTTAGTTTAAGGTCATCTTGTTATCTGGACATAAAAAGTTTGAAATCTAGCAATGTGAACTCACAAGTTTTTTGATGCTTCAACATGGCAGTATGGTGCTAGTTTCAGAGGAGTGTTACAGAAGCAATCAAAATGAACAATGAGTGCCTGCCTCATTTCAGTAACATTTGGGAGAGAAATAGAAGAAATGGTGTTTTAATTGTTAGCTATGAGGCTGGTGATTAAGGATGGCTTGATGGAGAAATTTAACATAAGAAGCTGCTGCTTAGTGACTCTACATGATAGATACTGACCTAATTTTTGGCAACTAAGAGCCATAAACATCATCCTTGATATATCAGACCCAGCATCTGGTAGGTTGTCTTATAACTTTTAAAAATTAATGCACAGAGGGAAGAAAAACTACTGTACATCAGCATGCAATTGTTTTCCTTCTAAATGCAAATGTTACATCTTCCCACCAGCCCATAAATATATTTTAGAACTTAAAAGGAAAATAAAATATCTTTCATAGTTGATGTGGTGGTGGTGGTGGAGTCCCAATATTTGCTTGTTTGTGATGTTACATGCTGTTTGTTTAAGAAATTCCCTGCACATACATTAAATGTTCATGATTGTCCCCACCAGTCAAAATATCATTCTTTGTTCAGATGAATAAGCAAACTTCAAATTTATTAATATCATCTTAATGTTGCACTGAAAAGGGCATCATTTCCCTGGTTGAAAATGTGATAACTTTAGGGAGTTTGTGACCATCATTGCTTTGTCATTCTAAGGACAGTGATGTTTTTATTTATATAAATATACAGCAGAAGGTTTGTGGCTCATTGATTTGCGTACTGAATGCTTATATGGAAACAACTAAATGCCAAACTATAGATAAACATAAGCTACTGGGTATAGTTAAGGAAGCACTGGGCATCTTAAGACTGTTTGAGCAGACTGAATGTTGTGGCTTTTCTCTGCGCACCCTTTGTGAAAACCCAAAATTTTGAGCAGAAAGTCTTGTGTTTACTGATGCAGCTTCAGGATTCTTTAATATGGACATCTGGAGACATAGATGTTATTTCTGTGGCAGTAACAGCTATTAAATGAAAAAATGTGACGGCAATCTATTATTTTGAAAATATCTGTACTTCCAAAAGTCCCCTTTCTCTTTTCCTCTCTCTCCACCCCCTGACCCCACCCCCTAGATTTAAGAGATCCTAAGGATAGACTGTGTGAAAACATAAAATGCATAGCTGCTCTGTGCAGTGAAAAGATTACTGTTACTGCTAAGGATTTGTTCTTCCTGTTTGGTACTTTAAAAAAATAAAAAAGGCAAAAGCATGCAGGATTTTTTTCCCATATAATAATTACTTCAGAAATGCTACAAACAATTAGTGTGTTGAAGCCTGCATTTTAGTTTAAAGTATGAAATAAAGCCTTTATAAAATGCAGTCAAAAGTCCTGAGCAGTTGCACACTGTAAAGCAGGAAATCTCCTCCACACAATAGAGATTAAATGCTCCCTGTGCATACTGTATTCTGCTCAGCCCTCTGCGTTCGGAGCTGGGACCGTGGCAGTCGTTATCTGTAGCAGGTTCCTTGGTGATTTTCAAGCCCTGCACTACCTACCCAAGTGGCAGTGACACCAGCTTTCACTGAAGCCTTATTACTCTTAAAAGAGCAATTTGGTTGGTTGCACGGCTATTAGGATCAGACAGTGAGGCTTAAAGCTGTCAGTACAACTGCTTCTCATCTTTTTTCACAATCCTGACATCTTTTCTCTTTTCTGCTGGACACAAGCATTACTGTTTTTATCATTTTCAATCAAGCTCACGCTGCAAGCCGAGGAATATATTCCCACAGAAACCAAAGTGAGGAGCAGAAATTATTTTATAGCTACTGTAGTAGCAGCGGTGCTGGCTGCATGTTGTGTGGGAGAAACTGGATCAGTGAGAAATGTGGCTTTCCTCAGGGCTACATCATTGAGATATTACTTCAACATCTAAGGAGAGCAAAGCTACTCCTTGCTCTGATTTTTTGATGATTAATCACTCCTCCTTAAGCAAACAGAAAGTGGGGGAGAAGATGTAAGATAATTTTTTTTTTTTTTTTAAATAACTTGTGGAAATGTTATCATCAGTGAAACGGGGGAAAATCACTATGCTTGAACTTCTTTTCATTTTAATGTTGCTCTTTTCCGGACCAACCCTGAGCAAGCTTAGCAGGACCAAAGGCAAACACTGGAAGGGGGGTAAGTGGAAATAAAAAGTTTTGTAATGGATGTTTGGGTATGATCCTAAAAAGCTGCATTAAAGGTGATCTAGGAAGAATACCTATGCTGTTTTGAATGACTCAGATTTCAGGTTGCCATGTGGGCTTGCAATAGGATGCTGAAAAGAGAGCATGGAGTTTAATTTGTTTTCTTGATAGTTTGCTTGACTGAGTCTGTAAGGCATATATTCCTTGCAGGAATTTTATTTTGCATTGTATCATTAGCAGATAAACATTTAAGGCCTTTATACAAAGATATTTATACCATTTAGAAACCAGTGGTTTTTTGGACTGTGAGAATTCAGATTGTTCTTTTTATTAGGGAGACTCTGGGACAGATGTTTGTGGTTTTATTGCAAGAGATGTTACCCTTGTCATAAAGGGTTATAGTGTTGGTAAAGAGGAGGAAGAAAGAAGAGAGAAAGAAAGCAAGCAGCTTATTTTGAGTGCAGAATTGTTAGTGCATGTGGTAAAAATGACTAGACAGACATTTTTTCAGAGTACACGAATGTTGTGAAATGCACTGCCAGCAGCACTAATTGGCTGACTGGCTATGTCAGTGTTGATGTGTTAATAAAGATAAATTGCATTAAGTTTATCGAAAAAAATGCTGTGCTGAGAAAACACTTATGATTTTTGAAGGCAGCAATCCATTTTCCTCTTCTGTTAAAAACTGCTGAGAAGATTTACCCTATATGTGCTGTGAACAGTTCACTAAATGTGCCTTTTCATAAAGTTCACTTTGTTTTGCTTCCTTGCGTGACATTTGTTTATGGAAAACATGGGTTATAGAGGTCTCATAATCAAATAGCTCAGTGACCATAAATGATATCTCATAAATATTTTGACTGGGGGACTGTGGATTGTAGATAGCTTGATATTTTCTCCCTAGTTGTTTCTTGATTCTTGATGTTAACTGATTGGAGGCACCCTAGGATTTTTTTTCTTTTTTTCTTTTTTTTTTTTTTTCCTTACAAGTGTTGCCACAGCATGGTGTGTTTATCACAGCTTTAATAGCACTTTCAGTTTTCCTCTGCTGTCAGTATTGTGATCTGAGGTTAAAGAGTAGCATCAACATTAAAAAGAAGTTTTAATAATTTATCACAACATCTCAGCAGGAGACTCCTCCCTCCCCCTCTACATTTCCTTTTGTTGCATTTAAAGATATCGCAAATCTTCCACCTACTGTACCTTCAAGGGAAAAGTTGCAGCACACACTTAACCTGGACTGTTAATGCAGCACAGTATATCTGGAAATTATTTCCTGGTCCTGTAAATCACATTATCACATGTATCTCAGTGTGCTGCTGCTGGGTATCCTCGTTGCAAATTAAAAGCTGTTATTTACTCTGGGCAGCACGACCTCTTCTCAGAGGCACGTGAGTTAGGGATATATGTCAGTGTCAAGTTCCTGGGATTTAAAAAATGCTGTTAACTTTTTTTCCTTTCTCCCATTTTCAATTAAATCTGGTAAATGAGAGGTGTATTGTTTTAATCTTTTACCTCCTCTCTGACAGAGGCAAAGAGCTCCACTGAAGAATTTTTATCATGGGTAGAAAATAATCCCTGAATCTGACTGTGGAAAATAATACCTTATTGTGGGGTTTTGCTTTTAGAAGTGTTCTTTGCAGCTGAAAAAAACCATAAGGAACTTACCTGTTTCAAGGAGACCAGGAAGAAATTTGCCTTGTTTACTCCCAGCTCTTGAATCAGCCAAAAACTAGGCATACCTGCTGTACTGTAATTTTTTCATACCCAGATGTTATTGTAAGAGTTGAATGACTTGAAGATGATGCATGCTTTCCGGTGAAAGTTTCAACTTCAGGATCTGTCAGAATCGATGTGTTGTAGTGCCATGTAGTCTGAGCCTTTTTGACCTCCATATAATATGCACCTCCCTTTCCATCAAACATTAAGGATCAACTTTTGCTTATATACCAATGATGTGAGTTCTTTTTGTCAGTCTACACATGGAATTTGTGGTGTCTCAATGAAATTTCAGCATACAAACTTTTCCACTGGAGCACACTGGAAAGCCTATCCCAACATGGAAACAGATTTATTTATTTATTTATTTATTTATTTTTAAAAGGTTCAGGAAAGCCAGACACCTGCATACCAGCTTCCAGCTGTATTGTTCAGAGGGGAAAGGTGATGCTGGATGCACGCATCTGGAAATGCATTTTACAAATCATAGTATAGCTATACTGAAGTCAGTTTCCATGGTGGACAGCAAGAGCTGGTTTAGGCCATTCTCTGAAGTTTTTCTGTTCCACATTGTGTTTCAGAAGTGCTGCGACATACAGGCATCTTTGGAAAGTGCTGGTTTTCTGTGTCTTCATGATCAGTTCAAGTGTAGGCTAACAAATCTGGAAATTCTTCTGGTATAATTAAAAAAAAAACCTTCACTGCTGAAGTTACAAGCTCTGAGAAGACTTTTTCTGTAGTCTTGCTGTGTAGTTCTCTATATTATTTATGAGAAAAACAACTCTATTCACCTCTATTTTTCTCCTTGGAATTCAATCTAAAAAAAAATGACCACACACATAAAGCTAAAATGAATGGAATTATGGGTAGAAATCACCTCCTGATTTAGTTGCAAGGTCAGATGTCAGGACTGAAATGGGTCCCATAGATGGGCCTGGAGAAACGTAAAGGTATCATTTTCTTTTCTAGCTGTTTTTAGGTCTGCACTCCAGAAACCTTTCAGAATAATTCATTGGAATGCAGTCTCTAAATGTGCCTTAAACTGGGATTTATAAACTAATAATCAAGATAAACTGGAGTCTAAAAACAGGACCTGAAAGTACAAATCATCTGGATTTTCTTTTTCCCTTTGAGCCAAAATAACACACCATGGTTCAAGTTCTTAAGAAGGATTTATAATATGGAGAACAAAAAACTGGGAAAAGAAGATTAAGTACTCTTTTGAGTTTACCTTAAATCAAAAAGCAGATTTCAAGTGTTGCTAATGCCTATCCCTTACTGAATTTGTTTCCACAGTGTTTTCACTCTGTCATAGATCATGTTGGGGGGGCAATGTTAAGTTTTCAGTGTATTCCTCCATATGCACGTGGATGTGCTTTGTGTCTGTCCAGTGGCATCTGGGAGAATTTGGAGACTGGGAAGTAAGCTGCCCATTTGTGTCATGCTTGGGAACCTTCCTAATACTTCACTCATACTAATAGCTTAGTAATAGTAATTCCTAACCAAGGAAAATTGGGACACTGTGTGTAGAGTCTCACACTGCATAAGCACCACAGACCAATGTGATTGGGACCAGGGAACGTGGTTGTCCAGGGTGTTGCCAAAGGGCCCGTTGCTGATGAGACCTCAGCCTTGTTGAGCAGTTGGCAAGGGCAAGGCAGTGCCCATATACAGAAACTACCGTGTACAGTGGCTTGCTGTTACCCCAGCTGGCAAACAGCAAAAAGCATGGGTAGAAGAAAATCATGCATGATACTTGTCTTCTGGTAGACATCAGTGTATTTTACAACTCTGAGTGAAGACTCTGTAACAGAAATGGTTTGTAGGAGAAGAGCGGAGACCATTAGGACAATCACCACTCTTGGTGGACATCAACCTTTTGCTCCTCTTGGAAACAGCTCGTGCATTTGGACTAGGGGATAGCTCTGCCCTCTCAGGCCATCAGGCACCTTTGAAGAGCCAGACCCTTTACATGGTGGCAGCTGTAACAGGACCTGGTCCATCTGACAGTCCAGCACCCAGCCCATCCGAAAAGCTGCAGGCTGAGCTGCTGCAGCATGGTCCTCAGGAGTGAGGTGAGCCTCAGTGAGGGAGCACACAGGGACTCTGTGCTTGCCATGGGGTGTCCCTCTATAAAAACAATACACTGCCAGTGCCAGCAGCATCTCCTGAGGGAAGAAAAAGCCTCTAGGGTTGGGGAGAGGAGCTGGAGATGAAAAGACTTCAGAGGGAAGGTAACAGACATGGGGTTGGGAAATGCAAACTAAGTATTCCTTTTCTGCAAAAGTTGTTTGCTCGTGTCTCCCTTGTGCTTCACCAGAAGAATTTCCATTTTGAGAACTTAAAGTGTGATTTGATTTACTTATGATCAAATTGGAGAAATAAAAATAAAATGCAACCACAGTGCAAGACCTCACAGAACTAGATGAAGGTGGTGCCCGTCCTTTCTGTCTACATGGAAGTGAAGCAATAATCTCTTTAATGACTAAATCAAAGTTTATTATGCAAGTGATCCAGCCTTATATTTCAGTTCCAATTTCAGCTCTATGGCAGTTTTATTTTTATGGCAAAAGGTACCAGCATGAGAAATCCTAAGTGTCACTGGCTAGGTGTTACTGATAAGTGTGATACAAAGCTGTGTGCATGAGATTGATCAGCACATGTACTATTTAGGATGCATATCATTTTTCAAAGTAGTTTAAATGTTTTTAAAAGCATAATTCAAAGTTTAGCTCAGAAGATAAAATTTCTATAAACTTCCTCCCATAAAGAAAGTGGCCACCCCTCAGAACTTCTAAATTTGGAGGTTAAATATTAGATTACTTATTAGAGTAATGGCTGAGTATCAGAGTTGGAGGTATGTTGCTAGGTGCCCGGTAGCTCTGGATACTCCAACACCTCAGGTACACAGACATTTGCATGCAGAACAGCTTTGTGGTGCATACTCAGAGTTTGGTGAAAATAGGGCCTTGAGATTTTCTGCATTGGTAATGAAGAGTCTCTGCACAGTCACGAAATCACACACACCAAGAGCACTGTGAATTGTTATAACCATTTAGAAGTCTTCTTGGCAGCCACTCAACAATACTATTCACTTCCCCCATGGGGGAACCCACAAAGCTATATTTTTCGCCAGGAGAAACTTGTTTTCATCTGCCTCATGGCTGTGGGGTGGTGAGGATAGAGGGATGGAGGTTGGGACCTTTGAAAAAGGGAAAGTAGAGAGGAGGCTTTTACATGGACCCAGGTGGCATGGGCTTTAGTGGGAGTTAT